GACTGAAGGTCGTTAATGCAATTTTTTTAACACAACTTCACCCATCTGGAGAAAAATGAAACCAAGTATAAATATTCCATGGCCACCTTTAAGCAGTATTACAAAGTGGAAGTGATTAGGAACCACAGCAACTCAGCCACAAAGTGGCAACCACAGTTGACAGTTACAGAGTGGGGTCACAGAGTGCTAAGAAGCATAGTCACCAACTCTCTGCTGACTCAATGAGTTTCACACCCCCTCTGGCATTAAGATCATAACTTCAACGCAAACACTTTGACAGTTGATTTGAATCTTTACAGAGCCTACGATGTAACCTACGTAAGTGGCCAGTGCTGTTGCCAGCATGCTTGCGCATCTGGTCACGTCCCCAGTGTTTTATACATGCCACAATAGAAACAAATAAACTTCTGGCTTGTTTTCCCCTCCTGGGTCCCTTCTCTTTAATGTGGGTATTTTTTTTTTTCTTCCCAGAGGCAAACATTTATCCCTCAAGTTTTTCCACTTCTTTGTACATCTCCTCAAATCCACTCCCATAGGTTTGCCAATTTCCCTTCAAGAACTTACTGACATGCATGAGTTCTTATATTGAGGCTATGACTGTTATCGTCACAATGATAAATTCAAAAACTAAGGCTAAAAAGTAGGCGGAAATACATAAGACAAATCAGCTGTAATGAACAGCCCAGTCAGTCAATAGTTGCGGGCTGCATCAATTCAATATCCAGTTAAATTTCCAGAGAAGTGTACGCCAGGTTATGCATAGCGTAGGGTTTCAAAGGGGTTTGCAGCTAAGATGTACCTACAGCACTGTAGGCAATATTTAATTTTAATTTCTTAAAGCTTTCCCTCTTATATTTAAAACAACCACACTTAATTGCCCCTTGGGGATAAATAAAGTCTCTCTGATTCTGACAATGGATGGACAAGCAACTGCTTTTATGCGTTGTCGTTAGCAACAACGATCACGTGGCTCCATCCGCTTGTTTATTTTCCACATAAACCTTTCACAATAAAGCTGAAGATCCTGTTGAGATTCTTCAAAATAAAATGAATCACGTGAAATAGTATGCAGAGTGTTTACGGATGAGCAAAAAAGAGCCACCAGGTTTCTTCACGCCAGTCGAGTTACCCAAGATTCACAGAATTTACAGAAAATGTAAAATTTTTGTGCTATATATCGTTGTAGGGACGATAAATGTCTTATATCGGGATATGAGATTTTGGTCATATTGCACAGCCCTACTCAAAAATCTGTCAAAAATGTTTTAGTATGACTTTGGTAAGCTACGAAGCCGTACTGCTTGATGGATTGTCAGAGCATTATGGCTACTGTAATCAGGAGCCTCACAGACTCAGAGTAATCTGGGTCCAAAAAAGTCTGTCCTCTTCAGGTCCCAAAGTCAAGCGAGCACTGCGGCATCACTCAGAGTTAAAAACCGTCTAAATTCTTTCATCTTTAATAAAATGATGAGCGTTGCTGCTTTACTAGGTGTAACAATTAAGTTTAACATCCCGGCATCCATGAAAACAGAATGTATTAAATTTAATGGAGTTAGAAGTTAGAAGCAGGAAGTTAGCTCGCTAGTTTCCACATAAACATGATATAGCATGTTCTGACTGAGAGATTTCCAAAAAAAAATAAAAACATACAGCTCTGCTATCACTTCCAACATAAATGAAGACAGAAAACTAAAAAGCAGTGACGTTTGTAGGGTTACTGAAATTTGGCTAGCTGGTATATAATGATGCGCTACGTGATCGCTAGCGACACAGCTATGTTAGCATAACAGAAACACAGTGAAGCTGGAGGATGAATGCTAACCTCAACAGAAATTAATGTGAGGGTTCCTGAGGGTTGGGGACAAATGCAATGGCATGGCAGGATGCTGTAAACGGACCAAACGTCAGTCAGGAGAACAACTGAGATAATCCATCCACAATACGAGGTTAGTCATTAATATACTGCAACAACATGGGAATAGAGCAGCTGCAAGAGAATTCAACATTAATGAATCAGTGGTACGGAAGTGGCGTAAGCAAGAAGAATGAGTTGAGTAAAGTTTGTCTTATCTGACTGTTTTGTTCCGCTTAATGCGCCTTATAATCCAGTGCGCCTTATGATCCAAAAAATACGGTACCTTCAGGATGAACTAGAATGGGGGCCTCTGCTCACAGAAGTGTCTGACCTGACAAATTCCCAACAGCATCCTCCAAAATCTTGTAGAAAGATTTAAAAGCTTCTGTAGGTATTACCGTATTTTCACAACCATAAGGCGCACTTAAAAGTCTTAGATTTTCTTCAAAAAGTGCGGCGCGCCCTATAGCGCAGTGCGCCCTGTGTGTTGTAAGGAGGACGTAGTAGAGAACACCATGAGAACGCTAAAGGGTGAAGTGTGTGCGTTGACTTTATTGCACATACCTGTATAAAAGAACAGGTATGTGCGTTATGCAGGACATCGTTGTTTTAACAACCCTGAAAATGGCAAAGAGACACGCTTACGAAGCACAGTTTAAACTGAAGGCCATCAGCTACGCGGAGGAACATGGAAATCGAGCAGCGGCGAGAGAATTTAAGATTAATGAATCGATGGTTCGCAAGTGGAGGAAGCTGGAAAACAAGCTCCGACAGGTCAAGAAGACGCAGCTGAGTTTCCGCGGACATAAGGCGATCATCGAGCAAAGAACGAGCGGGAGAAGCGTTTCGATGGTCACCATTCGGCTAAAAGCAGTTTCACTTTCACTTTTTATGAAACGGTGCCATTTTTCCATCCGGACCAGGACTACGGTAGCGCAGCAACTTCCAGCGGATTATAAGGAAAAGCTGGCCATCTTCCGCTCCTACTGCAGCAAACACATCGGCGACAAACACATCCAGCGATGGATGACCGATGGAGACCACAGTTTAACCAAGAGTGGAAACCAGCGCCGGGCGAGTTACGCCACAATTTGCCAATGGATTGTAGATGCTTGGGCTAACATGTCTGCTGGCACTGTTGTTCGAGCTTTCGCAAAAGCCGGCATCATTTCCGAGGAGCCGCACGGCACGGAAAGTGACTCTGACAGTGAAGAAAGTGAACCTGGCATGTTTGATGAAGATTTAGCGCAGCTGTTCAATTCAGACACAGAGGATGAGGACTTCGATGGGTTTGATTGATGATAAAAATGTGAGTACCAAACTTTGTTTTGCTCCTGCTTTATTTTTAAATACGTACACTTGTATGCTTGTGTGTTGTTGATGATGACGATTACTGGTAATAAAAATGCGAGTAAGGTACCGAACTCAGGTTTGCTCCCGCTTTATTTTTAAATACGCATACGGTACTTGTATGCGCCCTATGATCCAGTGCGCCTTATGTGTGTGTTAAATACAGTAATGGCACACATAACTGAGACTGCGCCTTTTAGCACAGTGCGTCTTATGGTCGTGAAAATACGTTATGTGTAGGTGGCCCAATACATATTGAGTCCATATATTGTATGTTAGGTATATTTTAATTATACAGTTTCATCAGGTTTGCATTCACCATTCAGTTTCTATTTATCTTATACTGCGAAGAGGGTACATAACTTTTGCTCAGTCGATAACTATAATGCATTTTGGATTCCCAGCTAAAGCAACTGCCTAATATTTTCCTTGACCAAAAATAGCCATTGTGCTTAGTTTGGCTTTTAATATGCAAGCTTTCCAAACACCCATGGAAAGGATGAAAACAACGGAAACACAGATCACTGAATGGCTGACTCTTGCAGCTCGGTGTACATCCACTGATCAAAAACTGTATTTACAATGAGGAAAACCATGTCGTTACTACAGTGAACAGCACAGGCAACATCCAATCCTGATTTCCCCTTAAACTGGACGTGAAATACAGGATTTCCCCAATAGTACAGCAAACAGTGGGCAGTACAGGATAACCAGGTTAAGGCATTGGCACATGATTCTCACATTTTCCTGGTAATCATTATTCCATTAGTTCCAGACGAGAGGCGACCACAGCAAATGATGCCTTGAATATGTGCAGTGCTGCCATGCTCTGCTGCTCTTGCCCGACAAAATCCATCATCCTCATACTCGACGTGTCGTTTTCTGAGGGCTTTGGGGGTGGAGGGGGTACAGCAGCAACACGGAGGATCTCAATGAAAGGGAGATGACACACACACTGAGGCATTATCATCTCCCATTCTGCGTACACACAATCGACTAAGCACACACACAGAAGCATGCATATCTACAATGCACTTACAAATCCTGCACACAGGTCCTCTGACAGCTGAGCGTCTGCATGCACACACACGCGTAAGCACAATCAATTAAAACGTGTTGCATACCCTTTCATGACAAACCACTTCCATCTACAACTAATGAACTCGTCTCCCCACCCCTCCTCCTTAAATATGCGGTGCAGCCAAAATATTTCCCATGCCGCTCATGCTGGATCCAATATCCAGCCAAGGCAACTTCCGTTTGTAGGAAAAACTACTCGAAATTCAAAGCTCGTCCAGGCTAACTAGCTGGCTCCCAAACAAAGCTCCCATTGTCTGGAACTTGTAGTTTTACCGTTTTTCTCTTGGCCCTCGCAACTGTGATTAACTCAGGTACGAAAAACTACAAATCCGAAGTCTGCAGAGCCCCATGAGCATGCGCACTGGCCCCTTAAGGATCGCGAAGGTTGTGGAATATTTTCTCCTTAATAATTTTTGCGTGCAGCGGCACATTTGAGAGTATGTATATACTTTGCTGAGAAGCTGGAGGTCAAAGTGGAGCACGGACCCGGTGAAAACGGCTCCTGGCGGGACTGAGAACCGCGACTGAGCCGTAGTAAAGAGGCTGCTCTCCGCATTGACTGAAGTTGGTCTGCTCGGCTCGGCTGCCTCTCCTCTCAATGTTTGCTTTGGCTCACTAACGTTCACTTCGCTCGCCACTTTTCAGCGCTTTTGAATATCCCCGGCTGCTCACCCAAAACTGCTCAGTGAAAACCAAGAGAGCACACACGGCTTACCTTTCGCTGCTCCAGGGTTTCCGCTCACTTCCAGCTCCGTTAAAATAATCCTCCAGACATTGTGGAAACAGCCGTTGCCCGACGGTCTGCTGCCTGTTCACCAAGTGAGACGTTGCCAAGAATTCTCAACCGAAACCACGGCGAAGCTGCGCCCGCACTCACTGCGCATGCGTAACTCCGACTGGCGCAAACTACTGATAGTAACACAGGGGGCGGCACGCTGCTGCTCCTGGAGCCGTGGAAACACGTAGTAAATACAAGTGGTAATACTGCAGAGTACAAGTATCAGATTACAATAAGTAGAGTACAATAATCAGAACACCAAGTATTAATTTAATTTATTGTGCTTTTGTACGGTTTATTTATGAACGAAAACTATTCACACTGTTATTTTGAAGGCAGAGTAGCACAAGTAAATTATTTTTATAGTATTGGCTTATACATTAGACCTATTGTTACAGATAACGATGGTGCCCTTTTTTTCTTTCATTTACAAACTTCCATCTTATCCTAACCAATAATACTTAGTTATCATTTATTTGTTTATAATATGTTGTATGAATAATCTGAGTCTACAAAGTAAAAAATAAAGTAAAAAATAAAAAACAGAATCTGACCTGGTGGAATAGTATCAAGAAGCAGAATAGAATATCCCCGTATTGTTATGTACTTGAGTAAATGTATTTTGTTTTATTTTGTTTCTTTTAAACTGGACAGAGCGTTTTACTGCACAGCCCAATAAGTTTTTACTCAGTGTCATGTCAAGTTCACAAATAGGCCAATAGCACACCCTTGTGGTTGCTGATTTGAAATGCTGAGCGATTAACCTGAAATGAATAATAACTAAGTTAATGATATATAACTATTTGTTTGAAAGAATTTGGATATATTTATTTATTTTTATATTTATACTGTTGATTGATTTTCTTTCTTTTCCAGAGAGCTTTTTTTAAACAGTAAATCTCACTGTATATTTCAACTTCTTAAAATAAAGTTTTGAGATAATAACACAAAAATAACACACATTAAAAACTGCTTTATTTGAGACTGATATAAAGGCATCGCCCGGATCAGCAAGATCCGCCTCAAGTGTTGAGGACCCAGGGCACCCTGACGAGAAGTGGGCTACTGGAATAAGGCATCGGTGGGCAAGACATGAAAATAGGGCATTGTTGGAATGCTACTACGCAAGTAACCCTGGTGGAAGGGTTACATGAATAGGATGATGACCTATGGAATCCTCGATACCCAACATCCACAATGGCGGCGAAACAACTAGTAGCTCAGTGTTCCAACATTCGAAAGAAGGGACTGCTCTCACAGCTAGAGATTGACGAGGTACAACACAAATGCTATGGCAAGGGGGAGCCAGGACGCCAGGTCAGGAGGGTGATGTCATCACCCCCACCCGAGATTGGGTACCAAGCCCCAAGTGCGATAGAAGAAGGATCGTTGAGTGCGAGGGGAACTGACCTGAAAGATAGGATCATGGTCAAGCTTGAAACCTGGACCCCCGTAGCTGGTTACCAAGACTACGTGAAGTACTCTCAGAAGGTCTGCTAGATGATGTTAATGCAGCACTACGGACGATACCTATGGCCACCATAACCGAGACTAACAAGCTGTGTGTATATATATATATATATATATGTGTATATATATATATATATATATATATATATGTATATATATGTATGTATGTATGTGTGTGTGTGTAAAATATAAAGCCCCTTGAGTCGACTGTTGTTGTAATTTGTTGAAATGAATCACCACCTCCTTAATTGAATTGCATTGTTACATGACATGAAGTGTTTGTATTGTAACACTGACTCTGAGCTTTGTAAATCATTGCTAATAATGTCTGTGTATCATATGCCATATATTCCATGTGCCTATATTTTGTCAATACAAACAATTGCAGTAAGAAACATAGTTTTAAAAATATCTATATATAGCAAATATTATCACTCCAACCTTCAGATTGGTTTATTAAAGGAGAGGTCAAAGGTCAAATGTGACATACCAGACTTTTAGGAGTCATATTTTTGAAGTTATAAAGCTTTTTATCAATTTTGATGAATAAATCTTTCAGTTGACCTTGAAAACCTTGGTGGATTCAGCTCAAATTTTAATGGACTGTTAACATGACCCCACTCTACACTCTACAAAGTTTTATCAGAATTCATCCAAAACTTTTTGAGCCATTACCTCGTCGGCGGGGTTGATAATGAAAATATAGGATGTGAATTTTCCAGCAAGTCAAATATATAATGTGACAAAAAAAAACCCTTCTAATAAGATGTAAGAATAAACCACAGCATGCAACCTAAGCACTGATAAAGAGTGGAGTTTGACGCACAGGAGGGTGTTGCTAAAAGGATGGCAAGGACACCACGCCTTGAATTCAAAGCGGCAATGAAGGGTGGAGAGTAATAAAAGAAGTGGGGAGAAAGAACTTGAAGAAAGATGGACTAGAGAGTTTGATCCCCTTCTGAATAAGACACTCCATTCAAGACTTTCTGTTTCACTAACTGCGCACCAGGGGTCAGTATAGCTCAACAATTAATGGGCGTGAACACTATTGTTTAAAAAGACATTATTTTATTGCTTTTTCTTTTTTGCATTGTACTGCTATTCTGGTCTTATTTTTAGATCAAATAAAAAGACCTTCAGCTACTGCTTTCTGAATTTTAATAGGCTAAATAAAATAAGTAATGCTTTATAATCCGTGATTTTATGGCCTATGAGACAAATACCAGCTGCCACTGGTGCTTAAAAATCACACATTAAAAGCAATGGAGCAGGACAATGGGAATCAGGGGGCTACCAGTTGGGTTAAAATGCCTCTTTTGTGTCGTGTTATCAACTAGAGCCTAAAAATATCCTTCCCTATTTTCAGCTCCAAAATCTTATTATTGCATTATATTATAATATATAATATTTTACATTATTTGAATTGTAATCTGGTTGTTTTAAGTGGACAGTAGGCCACAGTATATTAAAGGATAATGCTAATAATGTACTGTACAGCCAGCCGTTTCCCGATGATTGTAATAATGTTAATTATTTAGTTATATCAGCCGCCAGAATGATGTAGGTCAGCTGGAGAGCACGCAAACACTACATTACCCAGGGTGCACTTGCACACCAACACAGTCCAGTCCCGTTCCAACAGACTGCGGTGTCTTACACTCTCCGCCCTGCACAGTGAGCGTCACCCTGATCTGCGCACAGGCGATGGGATCGCGGGCGTGGACCTGTTACCTGCTGCAGCCATCCCTATGATTAGAGAATCGGTGACGGGGGAAGCGCTCGCTTCAGCGTACGTGAACGGCACTCCGGCATATTTGAATGCAAAGTCAGCCCGCAGACTGACAGCTCGGTGCTCGAAATATTTTGTCTGTTTGGTGTGTGTGTGTAGAGGGGGAAGAGAGAAAAGCCTTTTTGAATACAGTGGAGCTCCAGACAGCTGGCTGAACGCAGACTCCCTGAGCGCTTTGTCAATCTGACGCCAAATTGTGAGGACCTCGATGGGCCCCTTTACTTGGATGTAAACCGTACGCCCATGCGACGATGTCAGTGGATGTTGCTGGCTTCACTTTCCAGGTTAGGTTACAGTAATTGTTTACGTATTAAAATTAAGCCATTTTAAGGCGGAACACGCGAGAGGCACCTGGATACGCTGCACCATTTTACACACAGGATTTTATTATTGTTATTATTATGATCATTAATATTAGTGGGATACAGATGTGTCTTGATAGAGGAAAAATGGAGACAGTGGATTTGTTCATCTCGTCCTCGGATAGCCTGTAGAGCTGTTATACCGCAATGCCTCCATGCAAACCTTATGTGACGGTTTCCGTCTCCGCTGAAGAAGTGGCGGACATTTAAAGCTCACACCTTCCTTACGCCGCTATAGATTCGGCGATCGTGCGCGGTAACAGGGCAACGGGATAATGATAAACGCTGGCATTTCTTTCCCGTCACCAGTGAGGAAGAATTTCTTGTCCAAACCGACGCTCGTCACCATCACCAATGCAGCCCAGCAGAGGCGATTAAATCAGGCCGCTGCACAGAGACGGAGGCGGGTTTGTTATGCTCAGACTTGGCTGGATGCTGAACATGGTGCCACTTTCTCAGCTCTGTATTGACTACCTGTCGCCCAGCCGCCGGCTCATTTCACTAATTGCCCAGCTGTCTTAAAATGGACGAGGCTTTTCTGATGAAGGCTATTCAGGGACACTGAACTGGCTCTTGAGTGGCCATGCGTGTAGGATTTAGCTTGGACCGGCTTGTCTGGATGTAGGGCGCATATCCGCGGATATTCCCAAACACAGAAGAGAAAACAGCCTATATTCATGGAGATGGCAGGCAGTGGAGGTGCATCTATACGGGGCTGGATGAGAAATAATGAGGACCTCTGCGCAGAGGATTTCACTCAGCTCGTACACCCACAGCAGTTTGCCTAAGAGTCTATACAAGGAACATGTCTGGCAACCATCAGAGGTCATTCGGGCAAATAAATCAAAATTCTAACAAAATTATGAGCTCAGATTGTAAATGCTGGATTTTTACTGGATGGATTTAATTCACAGCTTATTAGCTGATCAGGACCCCTGAAGGCATCTCTCTGATTATGCTCCTTCACAGATAAATACGCTCTCCTGAGCCAGCTTCTTCTTCTTCTTTTTTTCACAAGACAGTTTTGAAAACAATCAGTTTTTTGGGGCATGGGGTTAGGATCCATTCTGTTTGACGTAATGTACGTTATCCCTGAATAAACTTGCCTTTGGGAATTCATGTTACTTCCACACTTTGTGCCAACAGCACAGCAGCAGCCGGTGACAGGATTTAGGATTTGGCACAGTTTCAGCAGCGATATGTGGTGATGGGGGAGAGCAGTCGCTGCTCTCTGACCCACTGATTCCCCTCACCCCTCCTCCGGTGGTCGAGGGCAGCTCATCTCAGTCAATGGGCCCTGTATGGATTTTGTGCCTGAGTTGTTCGAGGGCAGGCCAACAGTGTCAAACAGCAGTCAGGCTGCCATGAACCCATACAGCAGAGCGAGCAGCACAGCGGCCCCCCTGTCCTGCACCAGCTGTGGGGGCTGTTGCTCACCCCCTCCCCCTTGCCTCATTCCCCCTGGGCCCCCTTCCTCTACTACCTCTTCCTCTTCCATGCCCCCAAACATGACCCCTGCGCCACCAATGTTTCCTGCCCCAGTCGTGCAGGTGGAGAATGGTAGCAGCTGGAACTCCTCCACCATCTCCTCCTCTGGCTCCCCAGA